AAACCCCCCCCCCCCCAGTGAGGGACCTCATCAGAGAGCTCCAGGCCAATTAAGAGACCGTGTCTCAAAAAACAAGCTGGACAGATCCTGAAGAACAGCACCCAAGGTTGACCTCTGGCCTCTACACACACATGCACACATGTACACTTGCACTCAAACACACATAAGAGAAGCATTTTCTGCCTAGCAAACTGCAAAACCTGCTTAGAGTTAGAAAGCCAGGATCCTACCAGGTTAGAAGTGGAAGTGAAGGTAAGGGGGCGATGAGGAGAGGAGTTTGGGGGGTGATGGGGACCCTGTCTGGATTGGAGGATGGGTCAGCTGATGGCGAAGCTGCCCAGGTGAACCTAGAAGGTTAAGCAGAGAGACCTGGATCTTCTCTCTAAAGCACTGGGGAACCACAGCAGGTTCTATACAGGTGGAAAAGTCAAGGCATGTTTAGAAATAGCACTCTGGTGACATCCCACCCCCTTACGTCCTCCCCCTCCTCAGGGCTCACAGGCCACACGAAGCTCCAGGGTCTTGGTTAGTTCCACGTCCTCTGCAGCATCGTAGTCCTCCACTCTGCAACCATAGGTTCCACTCTGGCTCCGACGTACCCCCTCCAGGGTCAAGTTACCTTCCAGGTTGACATTTAGCCGCTTCTCCTCGGTGTTCTGAGTGAGCCGATGGGAAACCAGACTCAGGAGCCATTCTGGGAATGGCAGTGTGTGAGGTCAAGGGTCACTAGGCTAGTGTCACACTAAACTATAGACTGTTCAAGCAGAGGTCACTCAAATTGAGGGCATGCTCAGTTAAAATCATCTCAAGTCAGGGTCAGAGGGCCTGCAGATCAAGGGCCACCAAGTTAGGTGCCTTACCAAGCCAAACATCCCCAGGTCCAAATTAGCAGTTGGGTTAGGCATAGTGGCACATGCCTTTAATCCCAGTGCTGGGGTGGGGGTATGGAGAGGAAGAGGTAGGCAGATCTCTGTGAATTTGAGGCCAGCCTGATCTACATGGTGATCAACCAGGGCTACCTGGTGAGACCTTTCTAAAAGACAAAACAAAACAAAACAAAACAAAAATACCAAAACCCCCCACCAAAATTAGCAGCTAGGGCTAGGGGCATGGCTCAGAGGTAAGGCTCCTGCCTAGAATTCCCTCTAGGAAGGGGCTGGGGCTTTGGGTCAGTGGTAAAGCACCTGCCTAAAATCCCCCAGAGAGGGGCTGGGATGTGGCTCAGGGGTAGAGCATCTGCCTAGCATACAACAGGCCCAGAGTTCCACCTCTCAAACGACAAAGGAGAGGCTAATGCAGGTTAGTATGACACAGGGTCAGGTTGGGTTCCAAAGGGATGGCAGGGTGGGTTACCTGGAGGCGGAAAAATGTATACTCCAGGCTGGGGCTGCCATCACCCTGGCAGAGCAGCTGGACAGCATCTCCCTCGCGTACCCAGCCCTCGGTGGTGGACGGGCTGCCCACCCAGAACTGCACGTGCTCCGTGGGATCTATTGGAAGATTGGAAAGGAGATCAGGGCATGCTTTGAGGCTGGGCTGAGGGAGAAAAGTCAGCCCTGCGTCTAAGGCAAGGGCTACAATCTGCAAAGCTTAGTTGTCTTGCCATCTTGCCTGGCTGATCTTGTCTTTTCTTTTTTCTTTTCCTTTCCTTTCTTTTTTTTTAGCTATTTAAAAAATATTTATCTTTATTTTATGTGTATATGTATCCTGCCTGCATGTATACCTGTATGCAAGTGTACCTGTGTCATGCAATGTCCACAGAGGCCAGAAGAGGGCATCTGATTTTCTGGAACTGGAGTTACAGATGGTTGTTAGCCACCATGTGGATGCTGGGAACTGAACCTGGGTCCTTGGCAGGAGCAGCCAATGCTCTTAACCACTGAGTCATCTCTCCAGCCCCTTAAGATTTATTTTTTATTATTTATTTGTTTATTATTTATTTGTGTGTTGTGTCTGTGATGTATGCGTCTTATCTTTTTGTTTGCTTTTGAGATAGGCTCTCTCTTTGTAGTCCAGCCTGGTCTCAAACTCTTGTTTTTGCTTTTGAGACAGTCTCTACCTGTAGCCCCAGCTGGCCTAGAACTCTCCATGCAGACCAGGCTGGCCTTGATCTCACAGAGATACTCCTGCCTCTGCCTCCTGAATGTGCCACCACACCAGGCGTGGTCTTGAACTCTTGATCCTCCTGCCTTAGCCTCTTCTGTGCTGACAGGTGTGTGTCCCTACACCTGGCAGGTTCACATCTGCTCTCAGAACACACCAAAAGTCAGAGGTTAAAGTAACTTCACAGAATAAATCAAAGATCAGAGATCAGTGTGAGATTTGAGACTGGATATCATATGGGGGTGACCCAATTCAGTAGGAGAGGGTGGAGCATCCTGTGGGGTGTAGGGTGCAATACTGTTTGAGGTCAGAGGCTGAAAGTCAGCAGTCAACCCCAGTACCATTTTAATGCATGGTGAGGAGGGAGGGTGATTGACAGGGAGGGTGATTGACAGGTCAGATTCTGAGTCCAGGTCTCTGTGGAATGAGATCTGAGGTGAGGTTTCATAGAGACTCACAGTGCAAGGTGAGGCGGAAGGTATGGCTGTCCAGGCGGCCATGCTGGCCAGAAGGCAAGTGATAGTGCGCCGCACAGTGGAAGTTGGCATTCCTGTCAGCCTTGTAGAGCCGCAGGTAGAGGGTGCTGGTGAGAGAGTACAGGCCAGAGGCCTCCTGGACCATGCGACTGGTCATGTAGCCCTCTGTAAGACAGGAAGACAGCAGGTTAGCAAGCCAAGGTCACCACCAGCCACCCACCACCTTGGCCCATGAGTCCCTGGCTCCTGATAGCTCACTTGGATTCATCTCCATGGGTACCTCCAGACGCTTCCCGTTTCGATACCACGTGATCTGAGATACCGGGTTTCCATTGTGACTGCTGCAGGTGGCAATCTGAGACAGACATGGGTGTGGCCCTGGGCTTGGTGCCAGGACTCTGAGGGCTGGCTCCTTTTTTTCCCAGCTCTGTGCTTTAGAAGCAGGAGTCTGGGCTCTCTTTCCTCATGAGAGGAAATCAGAGGCTCCTGATCCCCACTCCTTTCCTTACATTAAAAAGCCCAAAGCTTGGGGCTGGTGAGATGGCCTCTGAGGTAAAAGACCTAAGTTCGATCCCAGGAACCCATATAAAGGTGGAAGGAGAGAAACGACTCCCTAAAGTTGCCCTCCGACTTACAAGTCTAGCTGTGGCATATGTGTTTTCAATCAATCAGTCAATCAATCAATCAATCAATCAATCAATCAATCAATCGCTCAGATCCAAAGTGGTGCACACACCTGTAATCTCTGTAACAGCTGTGAACTCTCAAGAGGCTGAGACATAAGGAGCATCAGTTAACACTAGTCTGGCCCACATAGTGAGTTCAAGGCCATTCTGAGCTACATGGGACCCTGTTAAAACAAAAACCATGCTGGGCATGGCGGTGCATGCCCTTAATCCCAGCACTTGGGAGGCAGAGGCAGGCAAAGCTCTGTGAGTTCTTGACCAGCCTGGTCTACATATCAAGTTCCAGGCCAGCTGGGGCTACAGGGAGACCCTGTCTCAATAAACAAACAACAACAAAAAAGAAAACAGCCACAGCACCATTGATAACAACAAAGAAGTCCAGGTCTTGGACCTCCCCACCCAGTGCTCTCAGCCCCAGGTTAGCCCCACATACCTCCTGAGCAAAATCTTCCATCACGGACAATGTCCCTTTGTTGGGAGATACCTCAGTGGCCTCTGGTTTTGCTGTAGAGAAGATGTTCGTGTTAGAAACCTCTTCTCTGCCCCCCTCCACCACTGGCTCCTCTTGATGGTGTTGGGGACACTCACCAAACACACGGACCCTTGAGGTGGCCTCTGAGGTACCTGCTGCCCCAGCCTTCACTACACACACATAGTCCCGATCATCGGCCACCTGGGCATCATCCATCACAAGGCGCCCAAGAGAGTCCACCTGGTATGGGGGTCTGCGGCCCCGAGAGTCATGTATTGTACCCAGTAGTTCTGAGCCCTGAGGCTCCACGGAAGCCAGGTGGTATCGGGCCCCAGAAGCATCGATCTGTGGGTATGTACATGGGACAGACTTAGCATGGGCTGTGGACCCTTCTTCTGAGAGAGACTAGGAAAGGAACCCAATGTCTTCCACATGCTAGGCATATGCTCTATCACTGGGCCATGCCCCCAGCCCCTCACTGGAAGACTCTAGGCAGGTGCTCTACCACTGAGTCACACCCTTAGCCCCTCACTGGGGGATTCTAGGCTTGTGCTCTATCACTGAGCCACACCCCCAGTCCCTTGCTGGGGGGACTATAGGCAGGGGCTCCACCACTGAGCCATGCCCCTGGATCCTTACTGGGAGATTTTGGGCAGACGCTCTACCACTGAGCCACACCCTCAGCCCCTCATTGGGGACTGTAGTCAGGGGCTCTATCACTGAGCCACACCCCCAACCCTCTTTAAAAATATTATTTTGGGGGGCACTGGAGACATGGCTCAGTGATTAAGAGCACTGGCTGCTCTTGCAGAGGACCCAGGTTTGGTTCCTAGCACCCACATGGGGGCTACCAACTGTCTGTAACTCCAGTTCCAGGGAATCTGACACCCTTTTCATGACACAGGTGCACTTACATACATATAGGCAATATGTCCCTCATCTCCAATCTTGTCCTGTTTTACCCCTCTGTCTCTCACTTCCTCTCCTCTCCTCTGATGTTCCTGATGTCTGTCTCTGTGTGGTCCCTCACCCCAGATTCACATACTGAAGGGGAACAAGTTCTGTCTAAACTTGACCCTGCTCAGGCCCCTGGGACTCCCCACTCCTTGGGTCTCTATGTCCTCATCTGTTAAATGGAAGTGCAGCTTGCTGATGGACCTCTTTTGGTCTTTCTGGCTCTGAGTAGGGGAGTCAATGCTGGTGGAGTAAATGAACCCAGATCACCAGTATCTCCCTCCTCCCTATATCCCCCTGGTCCCCAGCAGAGCACTCACAAGGAACCACTCCAGCACAAAGTGCTCAGGTTTCTCCAAGGGCGTGCAGTCCAGGGTGATCCGCTCCCCTCGCATCCCTTCTACCAGTGGGGTCACAGATACATGCACCTCAGCCTGGGCACCTGCAGGACAGCAGCAGAGGTCTGCCCAAAGCCCACAGACTCCAGCTTCCTCCTCAGAACCAAGGATCTAAACCATAGCCCCTCTCCCTCAGACCCAGAGGTCCAAGCCCAGCCCTTCTCCCTCAGACTCAGGGGTCTAGACCCCAGTCCTCCTCCTTCAGACCCAGGATCCAGACGCTAGCCCTCCTCCCTCAGACCCAGGAGCTCAAACCCCAACCCTCCTCCCTCAGACCCAGGTGCCCAGACCATAGCCCTTCTCCCTCAGACCCAGGAATCCAGACCCCAGCCCTCCTCTCTCAGACCCAGGAGCCAGAGACCCTAACTCTCTCCTTCGGCATGAGTCGGGGGCCCCTTCAGTGTCTCTCCAAGTCTTACACTTGCATTTCTGAGACCTAAGGTCAAGCCTGCTCACTGCTCCAGGGTTAAGACCTGGATTCTCCCTCTACAGCAAATACCCTTCAGGGCAGGGCCAGGTCTGGATCTCCCCTCTGCCTCCAGCACCCTGGGCAAGGCCTGGACTGGAGCTGAACAGGTCTTTCTCTAACTGCTTCTGCCACTCTATGTCCCTCCTTTTTCCTTAGCCTCCGGGGGGCACTTCTGCTCTCTCATGCGTGGGGGCTGGGTTGTGGGCCCAGCTGGGCCAGGAGGTGGATGGGAGTGTGGGAGTGGCAAGGGGGGACAGGGCTGGGCAGGTTTCAGGAATGTGGGAGGGCCAGGCTGGCTGAGACCTGCCCGGCTTGGCGCCAGAAGCCCCTACCTGCCCCTTGACACCCACCCTGTTTCTTTCCTAGAGAAACTGAAAAGAGGGTAAGGTGAGTCACCTGGGCAAGGGTCAAGTCTGGGAATTTGGGTCCTGAGGGAGAAAGGGCTGGGAGCATAGCCTCCCAAAGAGCCTGAGTTATGGGTGTCTGGGTCCTGGACTCCTGTCAAGGGTCTGGAGGTAGCACAGTTTTTGCTGGGAATCCATCCCTCTGGACTGGCATCCTTCCTTCCCCGCCCAGCCTGGCTCAGACCTACCCCTGGGGACCTACTATGTACCATGCTTGTGCCAGGAGCCTGGGTTCCCAGCCTGTCCCAGGGGACCTGATGTGGGGCCAGACTGGTGCCCTGGGCTGGGTGTGAGCTACAGCCAGTCAGGGCAAGCAGAAAGATAGAAGTTCTCTGTTTTCCTTGATCCCTTTCCATCCTGTCCCCATTGTCCCGTTGCGTCGTTCCCCCTCTCCCTTCCCCACCAGCCCCGGTCCTTCTCTCTCACCACCAGTGCAGGTGTGTGGATTTATCAGGGGCCTCAGGAAAGGGGCCCTGTCGGTAGGAAACGCTGTTCCATGCTCCCTGCCAGGGCTGGTACTCCCAACCCTTTTAAGAGAGGCAGATCCTTTAGAGAGAGCCTAGACTCTGAATTCAGGTTGGGGAAATCCTCAAGTTGCAGGAATTGTTGTTGCTTTAGTTACAAGGTCTCCAGCTTCTCTGAGGGGTACCCAGTGCCCTAAAACTTAAAAGTCATTGACCGGGACAGCCCAAGGCTTTATTTAGGTCAATTAGGGTTCTGGCCGAGGCTACTCTCGCTATGGGAGGCAGGCGGGGATTGGACTCTTTTGAGTCTAAGGGACTAGGGGACACAGAGCCCAGATTCCAGGCACCCAAAAGAACTGGGGGGTTGCAACTCTCAGATTCCGGATTTCTCAGACAGCTGGGAAGACACTGCTGTCTCAGGTAGTGTCTGCTCCCGTTCTGGGGTAGCTCTCAGCTCTCTCACCGGGCACATCCCAAGACCTCCCCTTAGGGCAGGGGGAGGGCGTCCCCAGATTTTACTCCCTCGGGAGATGGAAGCCTGTTCCTCTTTCCTTCCCAAGGTCCTCAGGGACTATCTCCCCACTTCATCCTCCCCCCACCCTCGAGTTTCAGTTTTGCCCTCAGCCCTGAGCCATACCTGGATGACCCGCCAGCAGGAACGCGAGCCACAACAACCCTGCGCGGGCATCCGGGGGCTCCATGTTCCCGGCGGTGGTGCAGGCGACTGAGCCCGGGTGAGGCTCTGGGCCGCGGCGGGGCTGGCAGGGGAGGCCACGCCCCGGGCCACGCCCCCGGGCCACGCCCAGCTCCCCCTCCACCATCCCCAGCCTGGGCGCTGGGCCAGGACCTCCCACTGCCCGGAGCGGGCCTCCCACCTGCGCGCGGGGACCCGCCAGCAGCACCGCACGCGTGTCCCCGGCTGCCACGGACCGGCACCTGGGGCTAGGGGCCCTGACCGACCAGTCTAGCCAGTGCCTTGAGCTGACATCTGAGGGATCCCGCGAGGACCCTGGTCCCCCTCCTTCCCACCTGCAGGGGTCCGGATTCACACTCATTCCCGCGGTGGCGATGGCCCTGGTTACAGGTGGCTCTTTTGTTTGTTTATTTCTTTATTTTGAAACTGGGTCTCACCCCATGGTTCAAGCTGGCCTGGAGCTCTTGGCCATCCTCCTGTCTCAGTTTCCTAAATGCTGGGATTACAAGGGTGAGCCACCAATCCTGCAGGAGTTTGTAAACTTGATTTTTACCAGCGGTTCCCTGGTACAATCTATATGGCCTTCGCTGGCCTCGCTCAGTGTGGCCAGTGGCCTCCAACATGACTGACTTACTTCTCCCAGGGTGCCCTAAGATACCCCTCTCTCCTGTGAGCCATGCTGGGACGTTCCCTTCCGCTGACCGAGCGGTGGCCTGGAATCGGTCAGCTCAATCTTTTCACTAATGGGTTTTCAATTTGCAGTTCCTCCTAGGCCTCGGTGGGGATGGGATGGATGTGGGTGCCCCTCCCTTTGTTCTCCCAAGCGCCTAGGCTTCCCCCCATCCAGGGAATCCAAGGAATGCCACCCCCCCTTTCCTCCTTCCTTCTCTCCCCTACATTCCCTCCCCACCTTGGGGGGAGGGGAGGAGAACCGGGCTGGCTCGGGGCAGGTGAGTGGAGGAGGGAAGAGGAGGAGCCAGGCCACTGAGACCTCTGGTCAGAAGAGAGGGTCACAGGTCAAACTAAGGGGTCACGGATCACACAGTTTAAGGCTCTTCACAAGCCAAGTCAGACTGGGACAAAATCCTGTGAATGCTAGCTGGGGGCTAGGGGAGGGTGTGCCTGTGGTTAGCTGGTAGGGATGGAGGAGGGGGGTCACTGCCCAGGCTGGGAAAGGCTGATCCTCCTGGAGTCTCTGGTCAGTCTGGGGGCTGTCAATCCAGCCCCAGAGGAAAGGGGTTATGTTATAGTTTCTAGCCAGACTCACAAAATTACTTGACCACTGCGGCCATATAGGACAGCTATTGTTAAACTGGGAAGAATGACCTTTGCATGGGATTGCCTCATCTCCAGGAAGTCCCCTTCAACCCCCTTCCTGTTATTTACCTCTCTCCAACTCCCTGGACCCCCATCCCAGCCTCGAACACAGTGGGGTACAGCTGTCTCCTCCACTGGACTCTGTGAGGGTTGAGACTGTCATCCAGATCCATGGCAGGCACTTGTGAAAGGTTTGCAAGGTGCATGCTCAAAGGCCCAGAGGCCCACACAGAAATTCCATTCCCAGATAACTGGGTTTAGGAGCATACTCGTGTAATCTCTGCACTCGGGAGGTGGAGACAGGAGGATCAGCTGCTTAGAAAGTTTTGTTTCTGTTTTGAGACATGGTCTCACTATGTAGCCCTGACTGGCCTGGAACTCGCTATGTAGACCAGGCTGGACTCGAACTCAAAGAGATCTGCCTGCCTCTGTGTCTCTGAGTGCTGGGACAAAAGGCATATGCACCACACCCAGTTTACAAAGAGAGTTTGTGGCATGCCTGAGCCACATGAGATCCTGTTTCACAAAAGCAAAAATCAGACTAAAGGATGTAACTCAGTTGATAGACTGCTTGCCTAGCATGCATGAAGCCCTGGGTTACAAATCCCAGCACTTCATTAACTAGGTGCATGGCACACACCTGTAATCCCAGTACTTGAGAGGTGGAGGCAGGAGGATTAGGAGTTCTCAGTCATCCTTGGCTATGTAGAGAGTTTGAGGCCAGCCTGTGCTACAGTAGACCCTGTCTCAAAAAACTAGCCCCCCCCCCAAACAAACAAACAAAAAAACAAACCTAAAAACCAGGGTGGCCATTTCTGGGTGCCACCACACTGTCTAGTGGCTGGCATGGTGCCAGTTCCTCCCTGGCACCCCTTCCCACACTGAGACCACTGTCATGTACTTCTTGTTCTTGCACACTGGCTGGTGTGCCTGCTCACTGGGGCTGGACCTTGACTGGTAGCCTTGCATTACCAGTCCCCTTTCCATTTTTGAGACGCCAACAGGTCATGGTGCTGGGTGAGGGAGGAAGGTCTTGTGTCGTGTGCCCAAAAGACTGAAGGCATGAGTCCTGGACTTGCAGAAACTAGTATCATAACATCACCTACTTTGTCTCCTACAATTAGGTACCACAAAACAGCCAGAGGGAGCCTGTGAAAAGATGAGTCAACTTGAGCCACTGTTCTGTTCAGAATCCTTCCACAGCTTCCATCTCTTTCAGTAAAAGCTAAAGCTCTTTCTGTGGTTTGCAAGGTCCTAGAGCTGACCTTTTTCCTTCCCTGACCCCGTCTGCCCCTCTCTCTTTCTCTCTCTCTCTCTCAATACTTTCATCATATTGATCGTTTCGCTGCCTTGCTGTTCCACCAGCCCCAGGACCTTTGTTCTTGCTGTTCCTTCTGCTGGGGCATCGTTTCCCCTGGTGGCTTCTTCCTACAATGTGCCTCATTAGAGAGCTTTCTTTCACCATCCTAGGGCAAACAGCAGCTCCAGTTCTCCCAGCTGCCCCATTTCCCCTCCCTTCCATTAATTTACTATGGCCACATCAATTCTGTTTACCTTTTATTGTCTGGTACAGAATCTGCACTCCAAGAGAGCAGAAGCTTCAAGTGGTTCATACCCTATTGCCAGAGCCTAGAATGGTGCCTGACTTGGGACAAGTAAATGTTTGTGTACTGAATTAAATAATGTTCCAACTCTATCTTGTTGTCCCTTGTATATGGATCTATATTCACGTGTCACTTAACAACAAGGATCTGTTCAAACAAAAGTGTTGCCAGGCAATTTTATTATTATGTGAACATCATAGCTATACAAATGAAGAGAGCAATGATGTCACCAGGAGACATGACCTTAGGGGACCACTGTCGCACATGGGGTCTTGTTGCTCAAAATACTTTTGTGTGACACATGATACCAGTCCACTGTCCCTTAGATAAAGAAGAGGGTGTGTCAGTTCCCCTGGAAGTTGGAGTTCCTGGTGGTTGTAGTCACTGCCTGACTGAACTGCTGGGAACTGAACTCAGGTCCTCTAGAGGGAGCCATCTCTCCAGTCTCATGTTTTTTATTACTTCTGTCTGGCATCACTGATCTGTTTCTGTTTGTTTTGAGACAGGGTCTCGTGTAGCCCAGGCTGGCTTAAAACTCACTATATAAGTCGGGCGTGGTGGCGCATGCCTTTAATTCCAGCACTCAAGAGGCAAGAAGTGGATCTCTGTGAGTTCGAGGCCAGCCTGGTCTCCATAGTGAATCCAGGCCCGCTGGGGCTACAGGGAGACCTTGTCTCAAAAAAGACCAAAACAAACACCTCACTATATAGATAAGGATGACCACAAACTTCTTTTGTTGTTGTTGTTTTGAGACAGAGTCTCCCTCCCTGTAGCCCCAACTGCGCTATGCAGACCATGGTGGCCTTAATTCCACATAGAGCTGCCTGCTTCTGCCTCCTAAGTGCTTGGGTTAAAAGTGTATGACATCACACTTGGCTACCTGATTATGTTTTAATTAATCTTTCTTTCATTTTTTTATTTTTAAAAATATTTATTATTTTTATTTTATGTGTATATGTATATTGCCTGCATGTGTTGTGCAATGCCCACGGAGGACAGAAGAGGCTGCCGGATCTGCTGGAACTGGAGTTACCGACAGTTGTTAGCTGCCATGTGGGTGCTGGGATTTGAACCTGGGTATTCTGCAAGAACAACCAGTGTTTTTTTGTTTTGTTTATTTTAAATTTTATATGTATGCATATATTTCCTGCATGTAGGTAAGTGCACCCATGTCGTGCAATGCCCATGGAGGTCAGAAGAGGCTGTTGAATCCCCTGGGACTGGAGTTACAGACAGTTGTTAGCTGCCATGTGGGTGCTGGGATTCGAACCTGGGTATTCTGCAAGAACAACCAGTGTTCTTAACTGCTGAGCCATCTCTCCAGCCCCCTCTCATTTTTTAAATCTTTGTAGTGTGTGTGTGTGTGTGTGTGTGTGTGTGTGTGTGTGTATGTGCGTGTGTATGTACAAGAATGTAAGCACCCACAAGCCACACATGTAGAGATCCAGGACAACTTTGGGCATCAGTCCTTACCTTCCAGAACCAATGACAGACCAACATCCACCTTGTTTGAGACAGACTCAATCTTTGTTTTCCACTACTTATACCAGATAAGCTGACTCTGAACTTCTGGGGAACCTCCTGTGAACTTCTGGGGATCCTCTGTCCCCCCCCCCCATCTCCATTTTGCTGTAGGAATGCTGGGATTATAGACACACACAATCACGTCTGGCTTTATGTGGGCTCTGGGGACATGAACTTAGGTCTTCAGGATTTCGTGGCAAACATTTTACACACAGGGTTTCCCTGTAGCCCTGGCTGGCCTGGAACTCAATATGTAGAATAGGCTGTCCTTGAAGTTTGACGATGGCCTGCCTCAGCCTCCAAGTGCTGGGATTACAGATTCAAGCCATCACTCCTGGTTGATTCCTAATTATTTTACACACAAGGTGCAAACTGTTAACTTGAAAATTAGTCCACAAGTTATGGACTACTGGATCGTGACCAGTTTGGAGAGGAATGGTTGTTCTGCCACAATTCCAGGCTTAGATCTGGAAAACTGTTGGCATTCTTTGTTATGTGATTTTGTTTCTGGTTGAATGTGGAGAGTTTTGTGTGTAAAGAAGTCTCCAAAAAAGAGCTTTGTTGGGGAAAAGTGTGAACGTCAAACCAACAGCAGGCTGGGTATGGTGGTTTACACTTGCACTTTCAGCAAGAGAAGCTGAGGCAGGAGGATCCAAAAAATTTGAGAGCAGCCTGGGCTACATTTTGAGTTCCAGATGTATAAGCCTATAATCCCAGCACAAAGAAGGCAGAGGCTGGAGGACAGTCACAAGTTCAAAGCCATCCTGATCTACACAGCTCTAGGCCAGCAAAGGGAGCTACCTAGCAAGACCTGCTCTCAAACAACAACAGCAAGACAAACAAAACCATAAACAATGTAGTGGGTTCCAGGCTGGCCTCGGTTACAGAGTTAAATCCTGTCTCAAAAAGTAAAGTACTGGGGGCTGAGAAGATGACTCAGTTGGTAAAGTGCTTCCTGTACAAGCTGGAAGGACCTGAGTTTGGGTCTCCAGCACCCACAAAAAAGCTGGGCACAGCAGCACGCTCCTGTCTCCCTTACATGACGCGATTCTTGGGGAGTCATTGTAAAAAAGTCTACTTACACCAGAGAGAGAACCAATGACAGACCAAAGTCCAGCTTGATGAGCAAATAGGTTTATAGGGGTGACTTACAGGAATATGGACTGTCAAAGGGAGCTGTAGCATTGAGAATCCGCCCCAGTATGGGTGATGATGGCTCATGGAAGTGGGACCCTGTGCAATGGGTAAGCTTCAGGGACTTCCTGAGATATATGAGTCATTTACTTCCTAAGCCTCCCTTTATAACTTGTAGAGTCCTTTTTTTTTTTTTTTTTAAGACAGGGTCTTCCTGTAGCTCCAGGTGGTGTACTCCTTTAATCCCAGCAGAGGCAGAGGCAGGTGGAGCTCTGTGAGTTCAAGGCTAGCCTGGTTCATCTAGTGAGTTCCAGGACAGCTGGGGCTACAGGGAAACCCCGACTCAAAAAAAAAACAAAAATAAATACATAAAAAACAAAGAACAGAAAATCACCAAGGGCATGTATTTAAGGAGTGTTAGAAGGGTGGACTGTAATAAATGTTTTGTTTTAAAGTTTTTATGATGATGATGCATGTATATGTGGCTATAACATAAGTGTAGAGCTCAGAGATACTCTGTTCTTCCATTGTGGGTTCTGAGAATAGAACCCAGGTCATCAGGCTTGGGTGCCAAGTGCTTCTCCACACTGAGTCATCTCACTGGCTCTGCAGTGGATATTCTTTTTTAAAAAATATTTTATTTATTATGTTTATTTTATGTATATGAGTGCATTGCCTGCATGTATGTAAGTGCACCTATGTTGTGCAGTGCCCGTGGAGGTCAGAAGAGGACATCGAATCCCCTGGAACTGGAGTTACAGATGGATGTTAGCCACCAGTGGGTGCTGGGAATCAAACCTGGGTCCTCTGCAAGAGCAACCAGTACTCTAACCACTGAGCCATCTCTCTAGTTCCCTGCAGTGGATATTCTTAGGCACCAGTTCTAGCACCATTCCCACATGTAGAGCTGTCCCACCTGCCTGGAAGCCCCATGTCCTCTGTGAAAACTGACAGTGACAGGTGTTTTCTGTCTTGCCTCTGTAGGCGCCAAGGTGATCTAAGCTTGGCAGACTGTGCCAGACTTTCCAATCAGGAGTGAATTCTGCAGAAGAAGCCAAGTGTGTCTAGTCGTTCCAGACACGGCAGCTGGGGCAGATCTGATTCTCTAAAGATGGCCAAAACAATTTCTCATTCTTTAATATTTTCTACAGTCAGAATCTGACATTCTCTCCAAGAAGTGGGCGTCAGGGTGGTGGCTCAGTGGTAGAGCACCTGCCTAGAATCCCTCAGTGAGGGGCTGGGGGAGTGGCTCAGGGGTAGAGTGTTTGCCCAGCATGAAGGAGACCCTGAGTTACAGCCCTATCACCACAAGTAAAATAAGGAGGGAAGAGAGGAAGGAAGGAAGGGAGGGAAGGAGGGAGGGAAGAGGGAGATAAGACTAGGAGGGAGAGCAGACCATAGTGCTTCTGCCAGGGTCACTGGAGCAAGTCATTCCATCTCCATAAGAGCTTGATTCTTTTTTTGTTGAGACAGTCTTGCTATGTAGCCTAGACTGGTCTTGAACTTGGAATTGTCCTGTCTCTGCCTCCTGAGTACTGGAATTGCAGGTGTGAGCCACCACATCTGTTTCTCCAGGGTCTTAAAAATTTTTTTTTTGTGGAACTGTGATGGAGCCTAGGGCCTCATACACTCTGGGCTACCAGAAAGCCATGTCCCTAGCCCCTCACTGGGGGATTCTAGGCAGGTGCTCTGTTACTGAGCCTGTTCTAGTTTGTTTCTTCATTGCTATGACAAAATACTCTGACCAATACCAACTTGGGGAGGAAAGGGTTTATTTAGCTTACATCTCCCAGGTCACAGTACATCAGGGAGCCCCAGGTAGGAACTCAGGGCAGGAACCTGGAGGCAGGAGCTGGAGCACAGGCCATGGAGGAATGCTGTTTACTGGTTTGCTCCCCTGACCTGTGCTCAATCTGCCTTCTTATACAACATAGGCCCACATGGGTGACACCATTCATAGTGGGTTGGGCCTGCCCACATCACTCAGTAATCAAGATGAGGATGGGGATCTCACTTGAGTGGCCAGTCCACTGAAGGCAATTCATCAATTGAGGCTTTCTCGACCCAGGTGTGTCAAGTTGACAACTAAAGCCATCCAGCACAGAGCCACACTATAGCCTCTCACTGGGGTAGTCTAGGCAGGTGCTCTAACCACTGAGCCACACCTCCACTTCCAGGAACCTCTTCTGATAGAATCCTGAGTCAGAACCACTCAAGTGAGATCCCCGTCCTCATCCCAACCTGCAGCAATCCCAAACAATCCTGTGGTCAGTGCTATCCTCTGTAGCCACTCTGAGGAGTGACTTGTGATGAACTCATTAGTAGGCAGCCACACCCTGCCTTGGGGACCAATGGGGCAGAGAGGTGACTACAGCATGGAGCGGTTACCAGGGCACCCTGGTGTCCATATCTGACCGGTTCTGTGGAGTGACTCGGGTTGGTGACCGTTGCTGGCTAACTGCCGTTCGTCTTGTTCTCTTTCCAATCCCAGTTCTCCAAGCAACTATTGGGATTCTGTGACTGATATCAACCCTGACCCCCAGCCAAAAAAAAAGGAAAAAAAAGAAAAAAAAAATCCTCTCACAATTTTTTGTATTCCTGAGGCAGCTCTTTACTTGAAACTAAATTTGTGATTGAAGCTTTCGGGCACGTTTCCCACACATGGGACATCTGTGTGGTCTCAGCTTCCATGGCCCCTCTTCCTGGAAGCCATCCCAGATTGCCTAAACTAGGCACCTCCTTCTGTTCCTACAACCCCCTAGGCTCCCCATCCAAAGCTATGCCCACATTGGGTCACCCCAGCTCTGCCTCCTCCACTGGACTGTGGGCACAGGGGCTCAGCTGGGCTGGTAGATGAATCCTGGGTTCCTCCAGGATTAGTAACAAGACCGGTGGTTACAGATGGTCTGGGAGAAGGATCAAGGGGAGGGAAGAAACAAAGAGATGAACTGGATGCATGAATATGCTGCTGTAATCCTTGAACTCAGAAGGTGGAGGTAGGGGGATTATCACATTTGAGGCCAGCCTGAGTTACATAGGGACACAGTGGGTTGTGATAACTCAGGTGCCTAAATGTCAGAAAAATGAACAGTGCTCAAATTTGGGTATTTAGAGGCTGGAGAAATGACTCTGTGGTCAAGAGTACTGACTGCTCTTGCAGAGGACCCGAATTTGGTCCCCAGCACCCGTATGGCAGTTAACAACCTTCAGTAACTCCAGTTCCAGGGGATCTGACACCCTCTTCTGACCTCCATGGATACTGCATGACATGGGTGCACCTACCATATGCAGGGAATATACTCATATACATAAAAAAATAGGGGGGCGCTATCTGGCCCCAGGATGTAGTTACAGGATGGGGGACATGAGGAAGGAGTGGTTATCTGGGAGCTGGAAATGTAGAACTCCACATCTGATGGAGGACGCTTGAGCTCCATTTGGTGGGAAGATCTGGGGGTGTAAAGGACCCAGGCTCCATAACATAGGCAGCCCTTCAGTGCCAAGCTGCCCCCTGGTGGCCACTGCTGGTTTCTCTCAAAGGCCAGGGGGTTGAAGGATCAGACTTCGATTTATGTTGACTTTATCACCCCTTCCAGCTCAAGAGGTCCCCTCGGAGAGTTCAGGTGCCCTGCCACACAGAATAAAGGGATGTTAGAGTACTTATTTATGGTTTTTTCCCCAAAGATTGTTTTTATTTTTAATTATGTGTATTTGTGTATGTGTGTATGTACCTGTGCGGGGGCATATGCAGATGGGTGTAGTGCCCGTGGAGGTTAGAAGAGGGTCTTGGATCCCTCAGTGCTGGAGTTACAGGCAGTTGTGAGCTGCCTGACTTAGGTGCTGGGAACCAAACTCTGGTCCTCTGCAAGAGCAGTACACAATCTTAAGCACTGTGCCATCTCTCTCAAACCTTGTTTTGTTTATTTAACAGCCTCCAGCTGGTATGATGGCTCAGTGGGTAAAGGCTTTTACCTTTGAACCTGATGACCTGAATTAGATCACTGGGGCTCATATGGTGGAAGGAGAAAACCTAGTCCTGTAAGTTGTCCTCTGACCTCCACGCCTATGTCCTGGTATGGGCACCCCCAACAAAGTAAATAAATATAATAATAATAATAATAATAATAATAATAATAATAAAGATAGGGCTTCATGTAGCCCAGGCTGGCCTGAAACTCAGTATGTAGCTAAGGATGATGACCTTGAATTCCTGATCTTCCTGCCTCTATCTCCAAGTGCTGGGATTAGAGACATATATCACCACACCCAGTTTATGAGATGCTGGGGACTGAACCCGGGACTTCATGAATGCTAGGCAAACACTCTGCCAACAGAGCCACATCTCCAGGTTCCCCCTCCCTTGTTGTGAACCAGGGTGTTGTATGCTCAGCTGATACCTGAGTCCAGCGTATCAGATCATGTCACCTTTGGGACAGGGACTAGCCAGGGGAGGGAAGCTGGACTCACCTGGCCTCTGGCTTTGGGCACAAATGGGGGTCCCACAGGGCTAGCTGGAGGGATGCGTTTCCCCTTAGGAGCTTCTGCCATGGAGAGGTCCGGGTGGGTTGGTTTCTTGGGACTGAGTCTTTCCCTCTGTTCTTTTCTTGTCTCCCTTTTCCTAAGACCTCAGAGTCCCAGAGTGTCATGAAGGACCTCTCTACTTACTCCATGGTCCCCTCCCTGGCCTGGGGGCTGGAACTGACATTCCATGGGACTAAGGCCACCGTCCTCATTTTTGGTAGGGGAAGGGGTGCTCGGAGTCGGGGCAAAGCAAGTGGTGCCTAGGAGAAAAGGGGTGAAGAAATGTTTCAGTGGAGTCAGCAAGATGGCTCAGTAGGTAAAGGTGCTTGCTGCCAAGCCTTATGATCTGAGAGTTTAATCTCCAAGTCCTGCATGGTGAAAGGAGAGAATCAACTCCTGAAAGTTACCCTCTGACTTCCAAAAGCACTCTGAGGCAGGAACATTTGTGCATACAGAGAGAGAGAGAGAGAGAGAGAGAGAGAGAGAGAGAGAGAGAGAGAAAGAGAGAGAGAGAGAAAGAGAGAGAGAAATGTAATTAAAAACAAATCACCACCAACAAAAAATTCCAAGAAATATCCCAGGTTGGGCCAGCAAGATGGCTCAGCAGGTAAAAGCACTTGCTAAACAAGCCTGAGGACCTGAGTTTGATCCTTTGAATTCATGGTGAAAATAGAGAATAGACTCCTGAAAGTTGTCCTCTGATCTCCATAAGGCACAGTGTGCCCACACTCACACATAATAATAATAACAATAATAATAATTAATAATAATAAATAATTTCCCAGATGAGTTGGGTGTAGTGGTGGACACTGGTAATCCTTGAGGCAGAGGCTGGAAGATCAGGAATTCAAGATTAAGGTCAACCGTTGCTAAATGGACAATGTGGGGCAGCCTGGGCTATGTGATACTGTCTTTTTTTTTCGTCTTCCTGTAGCCCTAGCTGGCCTAGAACTCACTACATAGACCAAGTTGGCCTTGAACTCACAGAGATCAGCCTGCCTCTGCCTCCCGAGTGCTGGGATTAAAGGCATGTGCCACCATGCCCAGCTGTGATACTCCATCTTCAAACAAAAACAAAACAAAAATAAATAAGTAGAAAACTCCAGCTGGGCTGAGTGTCGCTCACCTTCAATTCCAGCACTCAGGAGGCAGAGGCAGGTGGATTTCTAAGTTTGAGGTCAGCCTGGTCTACATACCCACTTCCAGGCCAGCTGGGGCTACAGGGAGACTCTGGATCAATCCATCTATCTATCTATCTATCTATCTATCTATCTATCATCTATCTATCTATCTATCTATCTATCTATCTATCTATCTATCTATCTATCTATCATCTATCTATCTATCTAACTATCATCTGGATATATTTACCCTCCAAATCCAAAACAACAACCGCAAACGTCCCAGGTGCGCTGTGGCTTGAGGAATGGGGTGACACAGTGGTGAAGGGTCACACGACAAGATCTTGTCCCCAGTTCATTCTGTCCTTGCTTCTGTGTATGGAGTAGGAAGTTTACTCTGCCTGTCTGTCATCTATCCTTTCTTCCATCCATCTGTTCATCTATCTCTATAATCACACCTGTAATCTCAGCACTCAGGAGGCAGAGGCAGGATTGCTGCCAGTTTAAGGCCAGTCTGGGTAAAAGAGTGAGTTCTACGCTACAGAGTGAGACTGTCTCAACAAACATAAAAAAGTGGGGCTTTTTTGTTCTTGCTTTTTTTTTTTAGGTTATCCTTGGCTACATAGCCAGTTTGAAGGTAGCCTGAACTACATGAGAGACTGTTTCAAAAGAACCTCAAATATTCATGCCACAAACATTTTCTGATTAACTCGGGTGAGTCAGGCACTGTTCTACACTTTGAGGCCACAGTCCTGAACAAGACAGAAAAACAAATCTCTGAATTGCAGAACTTACTGTCTATGGAGAAATAAGTAGAAAACATCTTTGGGAAGCCATCAGCTCACAAGCAAAGAAATAGCTCAGATGATCTGGGTCCTTCCAAATGATGGGAGAGTGGGGTTGGCTAGAGACAGGAGGACAGCTGTAGAGGCCTCTGGGAGGCTGGAGTAACAGGTCAGAGCTAAGCAAAAGGCCCCAGGGAAGAAGGTGCTGTGGTCAGCGGGGCTTGTTGTCCTGTTGAAAGGACAGGGCTAGATGGCTTAGATCTGTAATATCAGCACTGGGGAAGCTGAGGCAGGAAGATCTCGAGTTCAGGAACAGCCCAGACTATATAGCAAGACCCTGTCACAAAGACACCCACACAACAGGACCCTATGCCAATCTTCATCACACTGTGACCTTGACTGGGGTGGGGAGGAGAAAGAATCACATCCAGGGCCCAGAGTGGCTCGATATGGTAGGGACAGGCATTGTACCCACTGTACAGATCATGGAACAGAGTCACAGAACCAGTGGCTTCTAGGCTCAGTAGACTAGAGCCAGGGACTTGGGTACCAGTTCTGTATTCAGTCCCTGTGAGCTGGGTGACTCTGAGTGCTCTGAGACTCAATGTTGCCCCTTTGGATAATGGGATCATAGCATGGAAAGAAGCCATGGGCACTGGAAAGGAAAGAGAGAGAGAGAGAGAGAGAGAGAGAGAGAGAGAGAGAGAGAGAGAGACCAGGCATGGCTCATTGGTAGAGCACCTGCCTAGACTCCCCAGTGAGGAGGGGCTGGGGGCATGGCTCAAAGTCCCTAGGTTCAATCCTTTGAATTTCGAAAGACGGAGAGTTGGATGTGGTGGTGCACACCTCTAATTCCAGCACTCAGAAGGCAGAGGCAGGTGGAGCTCTGAGTTTGAGGCCAGCCTGCTCTACATAGTGAGTTCCAGGCCAGCTAGGGCTATATGGTGAGGCCCTGTCTCAAAAAGACAAAAGAGAGAGAGAGAGAGAGAGAGAGAGAGAGAGAGAGAGAGAGAGAGAGACAGAGAGAGAGAGACAGAGACAGAGACAGAGACAGAGACAGAGATGGAGACAGAAAGGACACATTAAAGTTGTGCACAGGCGAACTGGTCTTGTGAGGACAGTCACCTTTCTGGGAAGGACATGCTGGGTCTTTCTCTTCTCTGGTGTCTGGGAGAATGAAGGAGTAGGAGTGGACAGGAATGTGAATGGGAGCAGGAGGAGAGGACATGCCATGCCAAGCAGAGGACACTACCCAGGTCAAGGTGCGTACATCTGGCTTGAAGTGGCCAGCAGTCTGCTGCCCTAGCTGTGGCCCCTCCTGGTCCTCAGGGAGCCCGCCAAGTGCCTTCTAATGTTTCCATTTGCGTTTGGCCGTGCATCGGGATCTGTTTTTAGCTTCCCTCGCAGGGCTCTCCGGCCCCCCTTTCCTGCTGGCTCTCTTGTTTGCTGTGGTAGAACAATGTTCCCGGACTTCCTGAGCTGTTTGTTTCAAGTCAGCTGGTTATTGATTGAAGCAGGCAGGGTGTGCTGAGCTAAGATGTAGAGAGATCTGCCCCTCCCTGGAGGATCAGGGTCTCAGAAGGTTCAGGGGCAGCCACCCCTGGGAGGGGACAAGAAAATGAAACAGAGTCATTTTTAAAATGAGCTTGTGTAGCTGGGCATAGTGGCATACACCTTTGATCCCAGCACTTGGGAGGCAGAAGCAGGTGGATCTCCCTGAGTTCAAGGCCAGCCTCCTCTGCATGGTGAGATCCAGGCCAGCCAAAGCTACACAGTGACACTGTCTCAAAATATAAATAAATAAATAATAAATAAATAAATAAATAAATAAAGGCATGTGTGAGCCATGCTTGGTGGAACACACCGGTAATCATAGCACCCAGGAGGGTGACGCAGGAGAATGAAGACTTTTAGTCAACCTGAGTGATGGACTGAGATGCTGCCTTAGAAAAAAAAAAAAAGTCGGTCTTGGCGGCACACACCTTTAGTCCCAGTTCTTTGGAGGCAGAGGCAGGCAGATCTCTGTGAGACTGAAGTTAACCTGGTCTACATAGGGAGTTCCAGGCCAGGTTTGGCGACAGGGAGACCCTCTGAAATAAACAAACAAACAAACAAACAAACAAACAAACAAATAATAGCGAAAGTGGGGGGTGGTGGTGGAGAGCAAGACGGGGGATGGATTTCAGTTGGAAGAGTGGTCAGTTAGCATGCACGAAGCCCTGGGTTTGATCCCCAGAACTGAATAAACAGGGCCTGGTGGCGCACACCTATGATCCCAGCATTTGGGAGGTGAAGACAAGATTTCAAGGTCATCTTCAGCTACATATTGATTTGAGGCTAGCCTGGGCTTCATGAGACCTTGTCAAAAAACAAAAACAAAAACAGAAAAAAAAGGAAAGAAAGAAAGAAAAAGAAAATAGAGGAGATAGAGGAGGTGGGGTGGATGTCTTGAATACTGGTGGTGGGGGTGAGGCTGTCCCAGTGGCCCCCAGGGAGGAGAGGTGGGGCTGGACCCTTCAGTCTGAGGGAGGAGGGCTCAGGTTTAGACATCAGGGTGAAGTGAGACCCCAACCATCTACATCAGTCCTCACTCACCAGGGTTAGCAGGCCTTGGGTTTTGGGTCTCCTGGGGGATGAATCCCATTGAGGGGACAGTGGGGGAGCACTGGGGGTGGCCTGGAGGGGACAGAAGAGGCTGTCATTTTCATGTGTACATGCATTTCCGCTGTAGGCCAGCAGCAGGTGCTGTAGAGACTCCATTACAGAAGGTAGAGGGCCTCACCTTCAGGAGGTTCAACCAGGGACAGATACTGGGAATATGAGCACCAGAATCCTACTCCAGACTCTCTTCTCTCACAACCAGATATCTAGCCCATCCTTCCTCTCTCAGACCCAGGGGTCCAGATCCCAGCCTTCCTCCCTCAGACTCAGGAGTCCAGACCCTAGCCCTCCTCCCTCAGACCAAGGGGTCCTGACCCAAGCCCTCCTCCCTCAGACCCAGGGTCCCGACCCCAACCCTCCTCTCTCGAACCCCAGGGATCCAGACCCAGTCCTCCTCCCTCGGACCCAGGGATCCAGACCCCAGCTCTCCTCCCTCAAGACTCCAGGAACTGTGGTTCCCAGGCCCTGCTAGCCCTTCTTACCTGCTCTAGCTCCCATTCTGCATCCTTCTGGTGACTGCTGACCCCTGGGTTCTCTACAGTGGTCCTGACCTCTGCTGGTCTCTTTTGTACCTGACAGATACTCACAGCCTCTCGGCCCTTGATGTGGCAGCGACAGAAGGGGCAGGTTTGGTTGTTTGAGTTCTGGGGGAGGGGAAGGAAAAATGTCAGGCTTACCCTGTTGTCCTCCATGCCCTTTAGGACTTCAGTGACCTTGACCTCCAACAAAGTGGTGGAGGGAGAGGAGAGTTCTCGAAGGTGTGGTGGGGAGAGGGGTGCTGGTAGTAGGTCAGGTATTAGGGAACTCACAGGCCAGGAGTGAGTCCAGGGGAGTTGCTGGTGAGGCCTCTACCAAGGGCTTCCAAGGCTTCAACCTTCACTGTGGCTTTAGTTCCATAGTAGCCCTCTCTCAGACAGAGAGTCTAGACCCCAGCGCTCTTCTCTCAGACCCAGATCCCAGACCTAGCCCTCCTCCCTCATACCCAGGGGTTCAGGCCCTAGCCCTCCTCCCTCAGACCTAGACCCCAGAACTAGCTCTCCTCTCTCAGACCCAGACCCCAGACCTAGCCCTCCTCCCTCATATCCAGGGGTTAAGGCCCCAGCCCTCCTCCCTCAGACAAAGAGCCTGGACTCCAGCCCTCCTCCCTTAGACCAAGAGTCCAGACCCCAGCTCTCCTCCCTCAGACCCAGAGGTCCAGGCCCTAGTCCTCTTCCCTCACACCCAGGGGTCCAGACCCAGCTTTCAAGCTAGGTCCCAGTGGCACATACATTTAATCCCAACACTTAGGAGGCAGAGACAGGTGAATCTCTGTAAGATTGAGACCAGCCTGGTCTGTATAGCTAGTTCTAGGCCAACCTGGGAGTTCAAGGAGACCCTGCCTCAAAAAAACAAACCCCCAAACAAAACAAAACCAGACCCAGCCCTTGCCCCTCAGACCCAGGGTCCAGGCCTAGCCCTCCTCTCTCAGACTGAGGGGCCAGACCCCAGCCCTCTTCCCTGAGATCTAGAGTCCAAGCCTAGCCCTCCTCCCTGAGACTCAGAGTCCAGACTTTAAAGGCCCAGAAAAGGAAAGTTCTTGACTCTACACAGCTCAGCAAGCAAGAGAGGAGCCTTTTCTAAAACTCATTATGGAGCCCCAGAGGGAGAAATGGAGGTTGAAGCTCAGGGTGAGATTGGGACAGAGACACAGACACAGACAGCCAGGCCCCTGAATGGCTGGAGCAGGTTTCTAATCTCTCTGGGTACCCATTTAGGAATTTCCCACAATGAGCTTTGTAGGAGATCCAGTTGGGGCTTTTAGGGGAGCGAAAGAGGGATGGGGTGGGAAGAGGGCAGGGGTCAGCCCCACCTGCCACGTAGCCAGGCAGCGGCTGCAGAGGAGATGGCCACAGGGCTGGATCCTCACGTCCTTGTCGCTCTCGGAGCAGATCTTGCACAGCTCAAATGTCGAGTTCATGGCCTGGTAGAGCTGGAGCTGCTCCTGGTAGGCAAGATAGGGAGCCTGGGAGGGAGGTCTCCAACCTAGGCACCAGCCCAAATCCTCCCTTGACTTCAAGGCTGGGGGCTGGGGTTGTGGCTCAGTTGGCAGAGTGCTTGCCTAGCATGTAGGAAGCCCTGGGTTCCACCCCCAGCTCCACATAAATCGGTGTGGAGGTGCACACCTATAACCCCAGCACTGGGGAGGTAGAGGTAGAAAGACGAGAAGATCAAGGTTATCCTTGGCTACATAGTAAGGTTGGGGCCAGCCTGGGCTACATGAAACTTTGTCTCAAAACAAAACAAACAAACAAACAAACAAACAACAACAACAACAAAAAAAACCCCTCAAAAAACAAAACCAAAAACCCACAGAAAACCAGCAACCAGGTTGGAGGCCAGTGAGCTCAAAGCCTTCTTGGGTGTCAATACTTTCTTTTCTTGACACAGGATCTACTATGTAGCCCAGGGCCTGGCCTCTAACTTCTGGAAACTCCTGCTTCAGCCCACTGAGAGGTGGGATTACAGGTACCATATCCCAACCCCAGCCATGTTTTCACTCCTGGTCAAGACCCTCCCTCCTTAGGCTTCACTTGGGACTGCTGGCCCTATATCATCTGAATTTCCAATAAACAGTGACTAGAACTTGGAATAGTAGTAGATCCCAAATATTGAAGGGGATATACTTATGCTAAAAAGTAATGGTGGGGACTGGAGAGATGGCTCAGTGGTTCACAGAACTGGCTGCTCTTGCAGGGGACTGGGTTCAATTCTCATCACCCACATGGCAGCTAACAATTGTCAGTAACTCTAGCTCCAGGGTCTCTGATGCCCTCTTCCTGCCTCTGTGGGTATTGCATGCACAAGTGCACTTACATATATGCAGGCAAAACACTCAAACACATAAAAATAAATAAAATCTTTACAAATTTTTTTTTATGGTGGCCAAGGTTTGTAATCCCTAGAGAACCTGAGGCAGGAGAATTGAGAGCACTAGGCTCTGTGACATAGCAAGACCATGTATGAAAAAAATCAAGGGCTGGGGCTAGAGAGATGGCTCAGAGGTTAAGAACACTGGCTGCTCTTGCAGAGGACTGGGGTTCGGCTCCCAGCACCCCCATGGCAGCTAACAACTGTCTATAACTCCAGTTCCAGGGGATCTGATGGCCTCTTCTGGTCTCTATAGGCATTACGTGCACATGGTGCACTTATAAACATGCAGACAAAACATTCACACCCATGGGGCTGGAGAGATGGCTCAGTGGTTAAGAACACTGGTTGTTCTTACAGAAGATCTGGGTTTGAATCCCAGCATCCACATGGCAGCTAACAACTGTCTGTAACTCTAGTCCCAGGGGATCCGACAGCCTCTTCTGACCTCCGTGGGCATTGCATGACATGGGTGCACTTACCTACATGCAGGCAATACATGCATACACATAAAAAATAAAAATAATAGATAAAATATTTTAATAAAAACATTCACACACATAAAAATAAATTAATCAAAAAAAACAAACAAAGGCTAAGTTAGGGTAGAATTCTTCAAAACAAACAAACATACAAAATTTAGGGAGCCAGGAATGGTGGTGAAAGCCTTTAATCTCAGCACTTGGGAGGCAGAGGTAGGCAGATCTCTGCGGGTTTGAGGCCAGCCTGGTCTACATAGTAAGTTCCAGGCAAGTTGGGACTACATAGTGAGACCTCTGAAAAAGAAAATTTAATTATATTTTTTATTTTCTCTCCCTCTCTCTTTCTCTCTCTCTGTCTCTGACTCTGTATGTGTATGACTACACATGCCATGTTGCTCTGTGGAGGTCGGAGGACAACTTCTGAGAGTCAGTTCTCTCCTCTGACCATGGTTCCTGGAATCGAACTCAGGTCATCAGGCTTGGTAGCAAGCGCCTTTTGGTTAGTGCTTTTTTCTTTTCTTTTGTTTCTTTTCTTTTCTTATCTTTCTTTTTCTTTTTTGAAACAGGATCTCCCTGTAGCCCCAGCTGTCCTGGAACTCCCTACGAAGACTGGGCTGGCATCGAACTCACAAAGTTCTGCCTGCCTCTGTCTCCCAAGTGCTGGGACTAAAGGTGTGCACCACCACGCCCGGCTTGGTTAGTGCTTTTGTTATTGCCCAGCCTGCTGTCCCTTGCATATAGTCAATAAACTTGTTTTCTTATTAAAAAAAAAAAAGCCAGGTATGGTGTGCACACCTTTAATCCATGTACTCTGGAGGCAGATGCTGGTGGATCACTATGAGCCTGTCAGGGCTACATAGTGAGACCTTGTCCTTCAAAACAAAATGCTGGTGACTTGGCTCAGCAGCATAACACCTCCCTAGAATCCCCCAGTGAGGGGCTGGGGGCGTGGCTTAGAGGTTACACCCACCTAGCAGGCCCAAGTTCCTGGGTTCCATCCTAAAATCTGGGAGACAAAGATTCTTGGCTCCTCTCCTGCTGGGTGTCTGCTGAGACCAAGAGCTGGTAAACACTCAAATGCATCCACAATTTTGATGATCTCAGAAGCTCTTTTCTTCATTTTATCTCCAAGAAAACCCCCTGGGAAGAAGCCTGGTTGGGAAGTATGCTGAGAACCTTAGTGAGGCCAAGGGATTGGCTCAAGGTCACAGAGACCAGAGCTGAGGTGAATCATGGCTGGGAGCTATGGGCAGTGGGTGTAGGCCTGGGACTCACCTCTGACACTTGGATGCGTTGGTAGGGTTCTGCCTGGCACAGCTCTGTGAGATCTGGGTTGTGGTTCTTTCCATCAGGGTAGAGGTAGCTGGGGGAAGGACAGGGACCAGTTCTGAGTGACTACACGCTTAAGGATTCGGCCATTTTGTCTACCTGAGGGTGGGGCAAAGCTCTGTGGCATTAGGAATGGCATCAAGTCCACCGCGGGCCTTGGCACAGGCATAGTTTCTCTGTCTCTTTCTCTTTTTTGGAGGTGGGGGGGTGTTGAGACAGGGTCTCCCTAAGCTCCAGCTGGCGTGGAACTTGCTATGTAGACCAGGCTGGCCTCAATCTCACAGATATCTGCCTGCCTCTGCCTCTGGAGGGTGGGGACTAAAGAGGAACACTATCACACCTAGCCTTTTTATCATTACTATTATTATTTTTCCACCTGAGTAGGTATCTCAGCACACAGTAGAACTTGGGATCCTCCTGCCTCTGCCTCCTGAATGCTGAGAACACAGGCATATACCACCCTTCCCCCAGCTCATGACCAATACATTTTTAAAAAGAAAGAAAAAAAAATCCAATAGAATAAATAACAAACAATGCCAGCAGCCATTACAGTAATCTCAGCCTGCCTCTCCCCTGAGAGCGACAGCCGGGTATTTGGCAATCCAAGCCCTTTGCTCTTTTATAGGACTGAGCTACCAGAACTGAGAATCAGCAGTATCTCGGCTGTCATACTCTGTCCAGTATCCATCCATCTATCCATCTATCTCTGTCCATCTATCCAACCATTTATTCATCTCTGTCTCTGTCCTTATCTCTCTCTCTCTCCATCTCTGTCTCTGATTCAGTGTCTCTGTCTCTCATCTCTGCTCTATCTCTGTCTATTTGTCTATCTCTGCTTGGATCTTTGTTTCTCTTCATCTTTGTCTCTCTGCATCTCTGATTCTGTCTCTGATCTGTCTCTCTATCTCTGTCTCTGTCTCGCTCTCCATCTCTGTCTCTATCTCACACCACAGCTCAGGGGAGTGCCCTGGCAGAGCCCTTAAGGCAAGGCTCTGGGTTGTATCCCCAGCAGCGGAAAAACCAAGTCAGGTCTGGGCGAGGGAGAGAGTGCAGAGAGCATCTTCCACCCCATCCCCCCAACCCCGCAACTTCCCAAAGGAACCTGCCCTGCGGCCGCCAGGGTTTCAGGTGGAAAACCACCAGCCTGGCCGCGTCCCCACTTCTGCCCTGGTGATAGAACAGACTCTGCACCGGCTGCCAGCCAGGCTCCAGGAGCCCTGCGCTGTGCAGCTCGAGCCTCAAGCGCCGAGCGCCCCTGCCGGCCTCCAACAGAACTGCAGCCCGTGCCGCGTCTTTCCCGCACCCTGCACCCACGTGGGTGCTCAACAGGAGGATCTCTCCTTGTGGACCAGGCTCACACCCTTTCCCGTCAGCGTGGGGACTCACATGCCGTCCTTCTGTCCTTTCAGGAGCACCTGGAAGAGGGGTTTGTTGAGAGGAATGATCTGCAGGATGCTGCCGTTGGAGCTCACATACCCGATGGCCCACTGTCCCAGGCGAGTACAGCTGGGCCGGAAGATGTAGCTGTGGGGAGATGGGTGGGATAGGACGAGGGAGTGGTCGTCGCTGCCCTTTATGGGGACTTCCAGCTCCCACTCTGTTGGTGATCCAAGTATCTCAGTCCACCCTCAGCTATATGCAAGGAGGGGCTGGCTCCCCATCTGTAACTATAGACTGGAAGGTTGTGTGTCTGTGGCTTTAGGCGTCCTTATTGCCCATCATGGGGGCAGCCCACGTCTGAGAATGAACATGACACAGGACAAATAAGAGGCAAGATATGAACAGAAACGGACCCCTGAGTGCAGGACTTGAACACCTGGATCCATCTGTGTCCGAATTTCACACGCTGGGCCGTTAAATTATAGGGACACCCCCCCCCACACACACCTTGTACTACCCCCTCCCCTCGCCTCCCTTCTCTTCCTCCCAGCAGCTTGAAAGGCTGCCATATTCCAGCCCTGTGGAAACTCATAGCCAGACCTCCTCTGCCCTGAGGTAGAAGACTGCCAAAAATTTGAGGCCAACCTGGGCTACAAACATAGTGAGACCTTGTTTCAAAAACAAAACACAGCAAAACCAAACCAAACCAAACCTGGCTGGGGTGTAACTCAGTTGGTAGAGTGTTTGCCTAGCATGCATGAAGCGCTGGGTTTGGAGCCAGCACTCTACAAACTCAGCCTGGTGGTCCACATGCCTATAATCCCAGCATTCAACAGATGGAGGCAGATGGTTCAGGAGTTCAAGGCCTGTCCTGACATAACAAGTTCAAAGCCAGCCTGGGCTATATGATACCCTGTCTCAAAAATCAAAACAGAAACAAAACAAAACCGTTTACCAGGTGTTACAGAACAGCCTCTGACCTGACAGAAATACTGGGTAGAGTCTTCAGGACCTATACTAGTAGGTCAGGTATGGTCACTTTAGCTGCTGGCCTGTGGGATGGGTCCAGGACACAGGAGAAGAGGCAGCTGGGCACCCTAAACTCCGGGGGAGGGGTTCTTTTCTTCTTTTTTTTTTTTTTTTTAAGTCTTTTTGAGACAGGGTCTCCCTGTAGCCCCAGCTGTCCTGAACCTCATTATGTAGACCAGGCTGGCCTTGAACTCACAGAGACCCACCTGCCTCTGCCTCCCAAGTACTGGGATTAAAAGCATGCGCCACCACGTCCGGCTCTTTTTGTTTTTTGACAGAGGGTTTCTCTGCAGCCCCAACTGGTCTAGAACTCACTATGAAGACCAGGGTGGCCTTGATCTCATAGAGATCTGCCTGCCTCTGCCTCCTGAGTACTGAGATTAAAGGTGAGTACCACCATGCCTGGCTTTTGTACAGTGGGATTTGGGGGGGGCGGTTCTTGTAGCCCAGGCTGGCCTTGAATTGGTTATGTAGTCTAGGTTCTTTCTTTCCTTTTTTTTTTTTTTTTTTTTTGAGACAGGGTCTCACTCTGTAGCCCTGGCTGGGTTAGAACTCGCTATATAGAGTAGGCTGGCCTCAAACTCACAGAGCTCCACCTATCTCTTCCTCCTGAGTGCTGGGATTAAAGGATGTGCCACCCACTGCTACCTTGAACTTTTGATTCTCCTGCCTCTACTTCCCCAAGTGCTGGAGTTACAGGTATGCATCATCATGTCCAGAGCTCCTGCTGTCTGGGTTCCCAGGAACCTCAGCTCTTGGTCTCTGAGAACATCTGGGCTTCTACCACACATCAGCCATGACCAGACCCCTGAGCTGCCTAGCCCCATCTTGATGAGCCCAGCATTGCTTACCTGCCTGGCTTGTCCCTACAGGCCTGTAGCCGAGCTTGAACCTCATCATATGTGAGGAAAGCCATGTAGCCTGGGTGGTTGACGGCCAGGAGCTGCCAGTTCCTGAGCAGGGTCGGCCATGGCTGGAAGGGACAGAGATGGGTCACTAAGGGACCAAGGAAGTAGCCTATGTCCTAGTGCCTCTATGCTCACAAATTCACCACCCTGCTCACCTCCACAGCTGGCCTGGGTGCTATCTGTATATATACATCTTTCCTCTCTCAGACCCAGGGATCCAGGCTGTAGCCCTCCTCCCTCGGACCCAAGAGTTCAGATCCCAGCCCTCCTTCTTCAGACCAAGGGATCCAGGCCCAGCCCTCCTCCCTCAGACCCAGGGACCCAGACCCCAGCCCTCTTCTCTCAGATCCAGGAGTCCAGGCTCTAGCCCTCTTTCCTCAGACCCAGGGATCCAGACCCCAGTCCTCCTCCCTCAGACCCAGGGATCCAGACCCCAGCCCTCCTCTCTCAGACCCAGGGATCCAGGCTCCAGTCCTCCCTCAGACCCAGGGACCCAGACCCCAGCCCTTCTCCCTCAGACCCAGTATGACCCAGACCCCAGCCCTCCTCCCTCAGACCCAGGATCCAGGCCCAGCCTTCTTCTCCCAGACCCAGGGATCTAGGCTTCAGCCCCCAGTCGTGGCCCTGACCTGGAAGAGTCTGGTGAAAATGTCAAACTCAAAGACAGACACATAGCCACTGCAGGTGAGGTCCATGGTGGAGCGCAAGGCCTGTGCAATGGTGGTGCCTGGTTCCATAGGGTGGCATGTGCATAGGAGGGACTGGAACTCTGCCCAGGGCAGCAGACATCTGGGGTGGGGGTGGGAGTTGGGTGGTTGCAGTTGAGGACGAGAGGGTCTGTAGAAGCAGGCAGCTGCTCCTTCCTACCCTACTCCCCTGGCAGGGCTTGCAAGGGGCTCCCTCACTGCACTCTGCAGGCCTCCCTCACCAGATGCCAAAGTGCTCCCTCACCGGTCGCCGCAGTGTTCCCTCCAGAAGATGTGGGCAGGGCCCTTGGTGAGCTGGTACAGGTGTCCGCAGTATTTTCCCTCAGGGAAGAGTGCGCTCAGCTCTGCGTACATGTGGCTGAAGATGAGGGCCAGCTTGGCCAGCTGTCGCCTACAGGGAGGGGCTGTGAGCATCATGCTGGACAGGAACTCCATGGACACCCACATCCACGGGTTCAAGCCTCCAGATTCTCTCTAAGGAATCAATGTGCCATAGAGCCCATCTCAGCCCCTCCTCTCTGAACCTCAGTTTCCTCATCTGTGAAGGAAATGTGGACCCGACCCAAGCTCCAGTCAGCATCACTCAGTCCCAAAGTCCACTATGGCTGGAGGAGCCTCAACTATTGGATTGATGGGGATTAACCACAGCTGTACCCGTAGTCTGCAGGCACCACATGCCAGGAACAGGCTTTCCACCTTTGTGGAGTGGGTGTGGATGGAGCCCTATCTTTTTCCCCATCGGCAGCCTCCCTGAGTTTGAAATGAGGATATAGGAAACAGTAATGGGGTCTGTGATGCTAAGATTTGTGAGAGTATTGGCAACTTATTAAACAACAGCTTCCTCACTGTGGAAGGGCAGTCAATAACAGGTAAGTACAGTGAGTCATAGGGGAACAGTAAGGGTTGGCCACACCTCAGGAAGAGAGAGAGCAGAGCTGGGGGTGTGGCTCAGAGGTAGAGCACCTGCCTAGAACCCCCCCAGTGAGGGGCTGGGGGCATGGCTCAGTGGTAGAGCACCTGTCTAGACTCCCCAGTGAGGGGCTGGGACTGTGACTCAGTGGTAGAGCCCCTGCCTAGGATCCCCCAGTGAGGGGCTGGGGTGTGACTCAGTGGTAGAGCACCTGCCTAGAACCCCCCAGTGAGGGGCTGTGGGGGGGTGGTTTAGAGGTGGAGCCCCTGCCTAAAATCCCCCAGTGAGGGGTTGGGGGTGTGGCTCATAGGTAGAGCACCTGCCTAGCATGCACAGGGTCCTGGGTTCCATCCCTAGCACCTCAAAATCAAATAAAACCTGCATATCATGTTGGGTTAGCACTCAGTGCATGTTGATTTTTATCACCTTTAAAATTTTACATTAATAATTTCTTTGGTCAGATCTACAGAACTCCTGATGGTTTCTTAGCAACTTCCCTTCCCAGAATCGAGAACTATGTAGTCCCGTGTGAATTTTTCTGACTGGGAAGTAGTTTTATTTCTATTTATTTATTCAGGCATAGTGGCACACGCCTGTAGTCCCAGCACTTGGGAGGCAGAGGCAGGCAGATCTCGGTGAATTCAAGGTCAGTCTGGTCTACATGGTGAGTTCCAGGCCAGCTGGAGCTATAGGAGACCCTGTCTCAGAAAAGACAAAAAATTTATTATTTTAATTTTATGTGTATGCATGTATTGCCTGCATGTAGGCAAGTCCACCCATGTCGTGCAATGCCCATGGAGGACAGAAAAGGCTGTTGGATCCCCTGGAACTGGATAGTTGTTAGTTGCCATGTGGGTGCTGGGATTCAAAGCCGGGTCTTCTGCAAGAACAACCAGTGTTCTTAACCACTGAGCCGCCTCTCCAGTCCCATTATTTCTAATTATGTATATGTGTGTGTCTGTGTGTGGGTATGTGCATGTGAGTGCAAGTGCCTGAGGAGGCCAAGATGAGGGTGTTGGATCCCCTGGAGTTGGAGTTACAGGTGGCTGCCAGCCACCCATCCTGGGTACTGGGAACTGAATTTGGGTCCTCTGCAGGAGCAGTGTGGGGTCTTTAAAAAAAATTAATTATTGCTTATTTTTATTTTCTGTGTATGAGTGTTATGCCTGCATGTATATAAGTGCACCCATGTTGTGCAGTGCCTGTAGAGGTCAGAAGAGGGTGTTGGATTCCCTGGAACTGGAGTTACGGAGAGTTGTTAGCCACCGTGTGGGTGCTAGTATGCAAACTTGGGTCCTCTGCAAGAGCAGCCAGTGCTCTTAACCTCTAAGCCATCTCTCCAACATTTAGTGTGGAATCTTAACTGCTGAACCATTTCTCCAGTGGGAGGTGCTTTAAATGTGAAATATACACCAGATTTCAAAATTGTAAACCAAAAGAAAGAAATTTAAAATTGTAACAATTGGGACTGGAGAGATGGCTCAGTGGTTAAGAACGCTGGTTGCTCTTGCAGAGGACCTGGGTTGGTTTCCAGCATCCACATGGCAGCTAACAACTGCTTGTAACAAAACCCAGGTCCTCTGCAAAAGCAGTAAGTGATCTTAACTGCTGAGCCATCTCTCCAGTTCCAAGACTCAGTGGTTAAGAGCTCATACACATAAAATAAAAATAAAAATTGTAATAATTGCTTTACTTTATAAGTTGAACTAGCAAGATTCTGTCTCAGAAAAAAAAAAAAAAAGTATGTGTGTGGGTGGAGAGGACGGCCTGGATAGATGGCTCAGTAGGTAAAGGTGCTTGCTGCCAAGCTTGATGACCTGAGTTTGATCCTCTGGACCCACACTGTGGAAGGAGAGCACCAGCTCCTGCAAGTTGTCCTTTGACCTCCATGCATGTGCATGTACACACAGAGATAAAAAATGTAATATAAGCTGGGCGTGGTGGCGCACACCTGTAGTCCCAGCACTTGGGAGGCAGAGGCAGGTGGATCTCTGTGAGTTCGAGGCCAGCCTGGTCTACATAGTGAGCTCCAGGACAGCTGGGGTTACAGGGAGACCCTGCTTCAAAAAGATGAAAAAAAAAAAAGTAATATAATATGTAATAGTATGCAATATTGTTCAGTATGTATAAACACATTATGAAGACTGTTTCTTTGATCACTTATAACTGGGGAATGATGTTGATTTAAACACTATGAACAGGTAACTCATGAATTTCATTTCAGCATGAATCAAGGCAATATTACAAGCCAGGGAAGTCAGTACTAGGGGTGGGGGCCAGCCAGGCCCAAACTACCAATCTAAACTCTGCTCTGGGGTCCAGGCCCGGGTCCAGGCCAGCACCTGGCCTGCTGCTCCTGTCCTTCAGCAGAGCGGGCAGGCAAGTCCAAGGTCCAGAACCAGGGCCTCAGGAGCTGAAGTCCACAAGGGCTGAGACCAGGAGGGCCTATGCTCAGGCTATGATGAGTCCATCCCATCCAGCTCCCCTCAGTAGGACGCCCCTGGTGTTACCATGTTCTCTAGGGTGCTGTACCTAAAGCCTCTAGGAGAGAGGGATGCTGGGACCTCAGGTTCAAGGTGACCCAGATAAGGAGGAAATGGGGACTAAGCTCACGGGTGCCTAAGAGGAAAAAAAAATGAGGTGGCTTTGTTTTTCTGGGCCTGAGGGGGAAGGGTTGTATGTGGAACCCCGGGTTCAAAAGAGGAGGGCTGGGGCTTGAATTCCTGGGTTTGAGGGAGGAGGGCTGGGGGAATGGACCCCTGGATCTGAGGGAGGAGGGCTGGAGGCTGGATCTCTGGGTGTGAGAGGCAGGAGGTGGCAGGGAGCATGATCCCAGTCTCACAATTGAGAGCCCCCCACCCCCACCCGCCAGGTGCCCTGCTCACCTAAATCTGGAGCCCTCCCGGAAAAGCTCTTCATTGGCATCCTTTTTGCCTCGGGGTGGCAGCAGGGCCGCAGCCTGCCTGCCTTTAGCCTCCAGATTGCTCAGGTAGACCATCAGAAAGTCCCCAGCGCCCCCGGGACCCTCGTGGCCGCCTCCTTCGGCCGCCCGCCGGGCTTTCGCCACCTCTTGAAGTAGCTGTGCGGTGCGGGGCAGCAGGTCCCGGAGGGAGGGGGGGCCGACGGCCAGCCTGGGGTCCCCGCATTGCTCTTCCAGACGCTGTAGCAGCTTCACCGCCCGGCCGAGCGCGCGTGGCTCTTCCCACTGCCACCTTCGTGGGGCTGTCACCGCCATGGGTCCCTCGAGGGTTCCTGGACGGATGGGTGCGGTAGGAGAAAGGCCCAGCAGAGCCAGGTTTGGGGGCGGGACCAGGCCCGAGCAAGGGGAGAGTTCAGGTGGTTGCGGCTCCCAAGGGGCGGGGCTGGAAAGTCTGGCACCTGCGTCCCCTGGAGGTGGAGGTCTGAAAGTTTGATTCCCATGGGTGATTTTGATCGGGGGCAATCGCAGGAGGCCATTTAGGTAGGGAGTAATGCAGCTAGGGTCCCTTCACGTAAGAGGAAGACTTATTTTTGGTTTTGGGTGCTGGGAACTTAGTTCTCCACGACCTGCGGGGGGTACTGTGACACAGCACTCCTTCCTAGATTGTGGCTGCAGGTCTAGGTCTTTGCTCATAGAGGGGGTAGGGTGCGTGGGTGGGGATAAAGTTCAGACAGTTGAGCCTCCTAAGGAAAGGAACTCAGGTAACAGGCACTGAGCTGTCTCCCAGAGGGAAGGTACTAGAATGGTTCTGAGCTCTGAGTCCCAGGGCAGAGGGAAAGAGGAAATGAAACTGGAGTTTAAACACCCAGATTTCCAAAGAGGACCGTTGAGCTCTGAAGGGATGTGGCGTAAAGTGGAGTTAAAGAATGTACAGGACTGGAGGGCGGGGCTGGAAGGGCAGAGTTTCCCTCCAACCTGCCAAACCTGTAATCCTTTTCCGGACTGTGTGCCAGGGCAGCCGCCAGAGGGCGCTGTGGTCCTGGGTCTCTGTCCCCAGACACTCAGGCCACTGGGGTAGGCTGGCCACCACCCGGGATACCAGACCCCTTTCTCTCCTTTTTTAGTGTTTGCATTTTTTTCAATTAATTTATTTTCATTTTATGTATATGAGAGTTTGGTCTGCATGTATGTAAGTGCACCACATGTGTGCAATGCCTGAAGAAGACAGAAGAGGGTGCCGGAGTTCCTGGAACTGAAGTTATGAATGGTTGTTAGCTGCCATGTGGGTGCTGGGAACGGAACCCAGGTCCTCTGCCAGGCCCTGTGCCTCACACTGTAAATATTGGATCACTGAATTCTTAGGGACCCTTTGGCGAGGGCCTTGTGGCACACTCCTGTCACCCCAGCACTGGGGAAGATGAGGTATGAGGATTGCAGTGAGTTTGAGGACACCTAGGTCACACAGTGAGACCCTTCCTCTCAAAAGGAGCTGGGCTGGCAAGATGACTCAGTGAGTAAAGGCACTTGCCATCAAGTTTAATGGCCTAAATTCGATCCCCAGGACCCACATAGTGGAAGGAGAGAACCGACTTCTGGAAGTTGTCTTCTGATCTCCACATATGCTCTGTGGCACATAGGAGACTGCACACACACACACACACACACACACACACACACACAAATGTAATAAAAAAGATATAAAAAAATCTCACAGCACAGCCTTTACACCAACTCCATCTCTGCAATTTAATACATTCTATTTAATTAAATTTCATTAAGGGAAAAATCATGTTTGCAACACACTAAATTGATTTCATGACCCACTAATGGATCACGTTCTGCTGTGAGAAAAATTCCAAGTGATGTATTCAGGGATGTTAATGGTGGTCTTGTGGGAAATGGAAGAAAATGTGAAAGAAGTCAATGACCCTCAGCAGGAGAGGGAGGGTCCAGGACCTGTGATCTCTCTCCTTGGACCCCAGCAGCAATTGAAATGGATGAGCTGGATACAAATACCAATAACATAGAGCCCAAGAATATAAAGTTCTATTCCGGCATGGTGGTGCAGTATGCCTTTAATCTCATCATTCGGGAGGCAGAGTCTGGTAGATCTCTGAGTTGAAGGCCAACCTTGTCTACATAGTGAGTTACAGGCCAGCCAGGGCTACATTGAGACTGGGAGCTGAGTTTGGTTTGCACTCAAGTAGGGTGGCTCACAACCATCTGTAACTCCAGCTCCAGGGGATCTGATGCCCTCTTCTGAACTCCACTAGTGCCTGTACTCATGTGTATATACCCCCTGACAGACACACACACATATACACAAAATTAAAAATAAAATAACTCTTAAAAAAAAAAACCTGGGCATAGTGATACAGGCCTTTAATTCCAGCACTTGAGAGATAGAAGCAGACAAATCTCTTTGTGATCCAGCAAGCCTGGTCTACATAGCGAGCTCCAGACCAGCTGGGGCTAGAGGGAGACCCTGTCTCAAAAAAAAAAAAAAAAAAAAAAACCCACAAAAAATAATAAAGTAAGGGCTGGAGAGATGGCTCAGCAGTTAAGAACACTTGCTGTTCTTCCAGAGGACCTGGGTTTGATTCCCAGTACCCATATGGTGGCTAACAACTGTACTAACTCCAGTTCCAGGGGATCTGACACCTTCTTCTGGCCTCTACTGGCATTGCATGACAGGGGTGCACTTACACACATGCAGGCAAAACACTCATACACATAAAATAGAAGTAATAAATAAAATAAAGCAAAAAAGAAATTTGGGCCCAGCAAGATAATTACATATTCAAGGTCAACTTAGGCTGCATGAGAGCTGGTCTCAACCACTCCCAATAAAATAAAATAAAAAGTACCAAAATCCAGAATTGATGACTTTATGGAAATATATATATATATATATATATATATATATATATATATATAACAGTACATTGGTATACATTAGAGGTTACCTAGGGACCTAAGGCAGGCTGGGGGATGTTGGGAGAATATAATAATTATTAGTAGGTTATTATAGTTTTATTTCTTTTTTTAAAAATATGCTTTATTATTTTTATTTTCTGAGTATGAGTGCATTGCCTGCATGTAAGTGCACCCGTGTCATGCAATGCCCCTGGAAGTCAGAAGAAGACTTTGGATCCCCTGAAACTGGAGTTAGGGATGGTTGTTCACCACCAGGTGGGTGCTGGGAGTCAAACCCAGGTCCTCTACAGGAGCGGTCTATGCTCTTAACTGCTGAGCCGTCTCTCCAGTGCCAGGGTTTCTTTTAAGATTTTATTTTTATTTCTAATTATGTGTGTGTGTGTGTGTATATGCACACGAGTGCAGGTTCCCACAGGGGTCAGATGAGGGCATCAAATTTCCTGGAGCTGGAGTTACAGGCACTTGTGAGCCGCCTAACATGGGTGAACAGAACCTGGAATATGGAAACCAAACCCAGGTCCTCTGCAAGAGTATTGAGTGCTCTTACCTGCTGAGCCATCCAGTCCCCCCTTTCTTACTTTTCAAGGCCAGAGCTCATTCTGTAGCCCAGGCTGGCCTGGAACTCACCCTTTTGTCAAGGCTGTCCTCATATTTTCTGTGATCTCTTCTTTCAGCCTCTCTAGTGCTTGGACGACAGGCATGTGCAGTTTCTTTTAGAGGTAAAATATTTTTTCTTTTTAAATTTCTTTTTAAAATTATTATTTTTTTAATGTGAGTTTTTCCTGCATGTAAGTGCACGACGTACATGCAATGCCTATGGAGGCCAGAAGAGGGTGTTGGAACTGGAGTTACTGACAGTTGTTAACTACCATGTGGGTGTTTGGGAACTGAACCTGGGTCCTCTGCAAGAGTAGCCAGTGTTATTTTTTTTTTTTGTCTTTTTGAGACAGGGTCTTGCTGTAGCCCCAGCTGTCCTGGAGCTCACTATGTAGACCAGGCTGGCCTTGGACTCACAGAGATCCACTTGCCTCTGCCTCTCAAATGCTGGGATTAAAGGTGTGTGCCACCACGTCTGGCTTTAAAAATTTTTTTTTTATTATTTTTATTTTATGTGTGTGAGTGTATTGCCTGCATGCATGTGAGGGCACCCATGTTGTGCAATGCTGTGGAGGTCAGAAGAGGGCTTCAGATTCCCCTGGAACTGGAGTTAAGGATGGTTCGTAGCTGCTGTATGGGTGCTGGGAATTGAACCAGGGTCCTCTGCAAGAGCAGTCAGTGCTCTTAACCATCGCCAGTGCTCTTAACCTTTGAGTCATTTCTTCTGCCTCATGGAGGTAAAAATATTTCAAAATGGATTTTTCTGATTATTGAGAAATTCTGGGAATATAATGAGACTACACACTTCCAGTAGGTAACTTATGGTGTAGGCATTTAACCTCCACCAGTGTTAAAATGTGGAGCCAGAGGGGCCAGTTCTGTTCCCAGCACCTACAAGACAGATAACAACATCTGTAACTCCACTTGCAGGGAATCTGGCACCCTCTTCTGGCTTCCATGGGCATTGCACGACAGGGGTGCACTTACAAATATGCAGGGAAGCCGTTCACACACATTTAAAAAAAAAGTGGAGCCAGACCTGGTGCTGACCACTAGAGGGCATGCCGAGAACAGCCTTCCTTCCTTCGGAGGCCCTGTCTCTGGCCCTGCCTGTGAACTCTGCCTCTGCCACCCTCCAAGGGCATCAACCCTATATCTTCTTTTTTTTTTTTCTTTAATTTTTAACTTCCCAGACTGTGATTGTTATCTCTAGAAGTTCAATTAGGTGATTTACATTTCCTATAGGGCACAGGTGAAGGGACACTGGAGGGGTAATAGAAAAATGATGGAAAACCTCTTGGTGCCCTGGAATGGAAGAGGACCAATGTCAAGGCCTGGGTGCTCAGGACCCCTTGTGGAGTCAGGGCCGTAGCTGGCCATCAAGGGAAGTGGGAAGCCCATTCCTGAGGACAAGTCTTCCCAAGAGTAGACTGCAAATGACAAACTTCCTCTGTCCCCAGCATAAACCAACCTAGGGGTAAAGCTACTGCCATGTACAACCTGGGACCGCAGGGGAGGGGCTAACCCTCCTCTTAATTCCACCCTAAACCCTTGATCATTCCCCAATTCATTCAGTTTCTCTCCTCCCCTCTCCTCTCCTCTCCTCCCTTTCCCTCTCCTCCTTCCTCCTTTCCCCTCCCCTCCCATCTCCTCTTTCCTTTCTCTTCCTTCCCATGTTTTCTCTCTCTCTCTCTCTCTCTCTCTCTCTCTCTCTCATAGCCCAGGCTGCCCTCAAATCCCCTCCATAATCCAGAATGGCCTTGATCCCCCTGACTCCTTCTCTAAAGCATTGGCATTACCATCATACTTGGTTTATTTGA